TTTTTTTTTTTTTTTTTTTTTTTAGCAATTTCAACGATTCACGGAAGTTCAAGATACGTACGAGGTGTATCGCGCAGGTAGTACAGCGCATCGAGACAACGAACGTTATATCGCGAGTCCCCATTTTTTTCGCATCGTTTCTTCCCTCCCTCCACCTCGCGGACCTCCTTCCCTTCCCGCGCCGCAATTCCTCTCTTTTCTCTTCTTTTATTATTATTTTTTTTCTTTTTTCTTTCTTCTTTTTTTTTCCCCCCGCGCGCGCGATGCACATGATTATCGTTGTCGGAAACCGACAATCCATTGATGCACGACGTTGTCGACCTTTTCCCCCTCTTACACGGGCGGCCCGCCTCCAACCTGTCCAACCGTGTATATTCCATTCCAGTTTAACTCGTATATCTCGCGACATTTGCTCGCTCGCTCGCCACTCGAAATTCTTTTATCTTTGCCAATAATAATATATCGGTACGACTCACGAGAGAGCGAGCGAGCGTGCGTTTCGAACAGAAGGCGAGAGAAGGAAAAAAAGATTCCTGAGGTAATTTCAAACGACACAACAAAACTTGCTCGGTTTTTTGTTATTGGCGAAAAAAACTTCCAGGCGTAGCTCGGTCGACGTCGGTAACGGTTTGTTTACCGACCGAGCGCGAACGAGTATTCAAGTATCGTTTGATCGAAGAAAAGTGCGTTGAATATTTTTGTATTTTTTAAAAAATTATTACATCGAACGAATAGATGCAATATAACGATTCGCACGATGAGATTATCCATGGAAAAGGATGAAGAGAATAATATAAGAAGTATAAAGGAGTAAAGTTTCGAGAGATTTTTTCTTTATCCTACGTTTCTTTCTCATCTTCGCAACAAAGAATCGATCACTCGGTGTGCACACGTGCATAACTTTACCCTGTACGTTTTACGGACGGAGGTTATATTTGCCGCGGATGTCCCATTAATGGCTTCCCCTCTCTCTTCCACGGTATCGGTATTAAATAATATTTAGAGAAAGGGAAGGGGGAAGGGAAGAGAGAGAGAGGAACCGATCGACGATGGTGAACGATAGGCGGCGGCTATAGAGGTCGACTGTGGCAGAGATGGGGAGAAGGATGGTTTTAATAAGTGAGAGACGGACGCACAGTGGTGTTCGACGAACGTGACCTTGTAACGATAAAAAACAAGGGACCATGTATCCCGGAGAGTGATTCATGTCGCCGGCGAAACGCGAATGCTTTATGACGGAACACGGATTTCGACGCGTGTTCCGTACCGAGTAATGAATGTTTGCATTGTTTTCGCACCGACAGATGGACATTTCGGTTGGTTCATGGAAAAATATAAAGAATGGCCGGTTACGCTGGAATACCTTCCTCCTCGCCCTCGGGGGGAAATGAACGTCCTAATCATCCCGATTGTAGGCGAATTCTTATGCAAATTCGGATTTTTACGAGGAGATGAATCTCTAATCTAAACTGAAATGGAGAGAATTGTGAATTGCTTGGACGAAGATGAACTGGTATACACTTTTCCTGCCATTTTAATCTGAAATGCGTAAAAGAAAATTTATCGTTATTTATTTCGAAAAAAATCGATCGGTTATTCTCCAAAGAATAAAATTTATATAAATTCGGATTTTCAGAAAAAGATGGAAGGAAGAAAAATATAATTAGAAGGAAAATTAATTTATTAATATAATTTAGAAAATTATCTCTCTTATAAATTTAAACGGTTATGACGAAGATTCGTAAAAATTATTTAAGAGAACTAGTTTCTCGTTATTCTAACCTCGAAATGAACGAATATATTTATATATTATTGTATATTATATTACATATAATTATAGAGAAAAGAGGAGTACATATAATTATATAAAAACTATATACAATAAATTACGTATATTCAAGATATTATAGCAAAAATTCGGAAAAGCTAGTTTCTCTGAAATAAATTTAAAATCTAGAAAAAGATCGAAATAAACTTAAATTATCCTTCAACCTTATACGGCGAAGATTCGTAAGCAATTAACCATTGGAATCGAGGAGAACGATCTTCCACGACGATTTTACCGATTTACCAACCCGTCGAAAGTGTAAATTACCTTTTGCGATAAATGCAGCGGTACACAGAACGTCCCCGATCTCTCTTGCACTCTCCCGCCTCCCCCCTTCCCCCTCCCCCGTTTCCTTTCGTCCCTCGCCCCTCCTTCCTCCTTCCTTTCCGGGTCCCTGGAACCCTTTATGTATCGCACCCTTGCCTAGAAGTCATCCCCAGTTTCCTACTCCCAACAGCTATTAGTCCAAACAATATGGCTGCCAAACGCAGCGAACAATCGATAGCAAGCGAGCGAGCGAGCGAGCGAGCGAGCGAGCTGTGGGCGCCAACTGGCTGTATAATCGAATTAAGACTATTAAACGCGAAATCGAACGTCATCCTCCAACTGTTTTGCGTAACTCACCGTATAACCGTTCCTTACATTGCGCGATCGACCTTTGTCCCATAGATTATCGCCTAACGGCAAACCATCGCTTTTTTTCTCCAAATTGGTTTCATCGAATTAATTGCGTCATTCGATTGTTATTAATCGTTGCCTTAGATATCGCGAATAAATAACTCTCTTAAAAAAACGTAATCTCGTAACCGTGTCATTACGAATCGATGTATTTCATTTTTATATAGGATAGGATACAATTTTAAAGCAAACGCTTCGAGGCAATTCTTGTTTCTTTGGGCAAACGAATGAACGTTTTTTTCTATATTGTAGAACGTTCGTGTTATTGGGCGAGAAACACCTTTGTTGCAGTCCGGTCTCGGCACGTGGCAACGTCGGCGGAACAGCCTGTTGCGCAGTATCCCTATAAACGCTTGGAACGTCTAAATTCGTAAACACACTTAAAATATCCTCCTCCTATATCCTAGCGAGTTTTTAAGCGATCTTTCTTAACGAACGCTAATACGATGTGTATCGTATATCGTTATCGTAAAAAGATATCTGTTATCGTAAAAAAAGAAAAAAATAAAAATTCTAGAAATTGGGAATGGAAAGCTCACGACGTCACCAACGCATATGCTACCTCGTATAATTAATCAATTAATTCTTTCTTTCTTTCTTTCTTTCTTTCTTTCTTTCTTTCTTTTTCATATAGAGGGATGCGACCTCCGGTTGTTATACATATTCCATTTTCTTTTTTTTTTTTTTTTCGATGAAGTTAGGCCAAGTAGAAGTACCATTGACACCCCTTGTATTAGACAGCCGAAAAAAAAATAGTTAAAACTGACAGGTTGATGAGGTTAGTGATTCGGCAGAACAGATTATTGGCAGTGCGAGGCAGAAAAGAATTCGTAGGAGATTCAAACGGACATATTGTCATTGTAGGCGAAGCCGAAACGAGCCATCGTCGATATTTATTTACTTTCTTTTTTTTTTTTTCTCTCTCTGGAGCGAACAGTCATCATCAACGGGTCGAGGCCATCTCGAGATAACGAGAGCAGATAACAACACGATATCGCCGGAACACGTTGATGATTCGATCGTTCCCAAAACGATCGAAGAACAAAACGGAAGCGATCATTAATTCCAAATTCTTCTTCCAGGTTCTTCTTCGATCGATCCGAGATCCGGATCAGCCAAAAAGCAATCGTACACCAAAAAACAACTTCTTTCATTTATTTATCCATCTATCTTTCTCCTCTTTTCCCCCCCTCTCTCTCGATCGAATCCTCTTCTTCCAAACAGACTTCGATAGTAGTAACACGAAGAGAGAGAGAGAGAGAAAAGAAAGAAAAAGAAGAAGAATACATGGCGGGAGAAGTATGGAGAGAGAGAGAGAGAGAGAGAGAGAGACAGAGGTGGAAACAAGTGTTTCTCCTGTACTCATTGTACTCACCTTTCTTCGGTATCAGAGATTTAAGCAGCATTACAGCGTTTTCATCGCACGCCCACCCGTGCATCTTCCTGTAGCTGTCTCGCCCCTTCTCCGTCAGTTTGTCCCACGGCTTCGGTTTGCTCAGCAACTCGCTCACCGTGCCCTGGCTCAGCCCGAGTATGTACTTGGCGAACAACCTCTGCCCGATGTTGTGTATCGACAACAGCTCCCTCACCTTCCTCGCTATGTGCAACGTGTCCAGATTCTGCGACGCGTACTTGTCCATGTTGTACCGGAGCATGTCTTGCAGCCTCGCCTCCATCGGATCCCCCTTCGGGATCAGGGACTCGCCCAGTCTCACTGGCATCCCCGTTGGCCCGAACTCGTCGCTGAATCGAAACGGATGCGTTCTATCGTCGAACCGGAACGGGCTCTTCAACGTGTCCAGCACGCTCAACCCTCCTATGTTGTTGTTGTTGTTGTTGTTGTTGTTGTTGTTATTATTGTTGTTGTTATTGTTGTTGGCCAGATGATGACTGTTGTTGTTGTTGTTGTTGTTGTTGTGGCAAGATTCCTGGTCGGGCGGGCTTTTGGGGGGCGGCGCTGGGGGTAGGACGGCGGGCGTGAGGGTTGCGCCGTTGACGGAGGCGGCGGAGGGGGTGGTGGTCTCGATGATGGAGGTCGGCGGTTGAAAGCTCGGGGGCGACGTTAACGCCGTCGTCGAGGACGGTGTCGGGGGCGCCGGGGTCTCGTGGCCCGAGACGGGTGTCGGCGCTTTCTCCGCGTCGAGGCAACTGAGCGGGGTCGTTCCTAGGGGGGTGTTCGATTTGGCGGGGGTGTTGGAGCTGGACGAGGGATCGGTGGGGGATGGAAGATGATTGAGGCCGCTGCTCGCGGCCGCGGTGGGCGGGTGAAGGCCGATCAGCGGTTGAGCTTGCTGCAACTGTTGCTGCGACAATTGGCTCAACGGATTCGATTGCTGTTGCTGTTGTTGCTGCTGCTGTTGTTGCTGTTGATTCATGATGGACCTCTCCAACGTCCGCCTCCAGTTGGCGACGATCTCTTCGCCGAGGAACGAGCCGAACGTCTCGACGTTTTGCAGGGGAGGGGGGAAGAGGAGGCTGGACGTGGTCGAGGTGGCCGAGGATGGTGTGGGGGTGGAGCGCGGGGGGAGGGAGACTGCTGCTGGGGGTGGCGGCGGTGGTTGCTGGGAGGACACGTGGGACGAAGGCGGCACACCCCCGACCCCGTGGGGCGAGGCGGTAGAGGCGCGCTGCAGGGGTGACGAGAGCCCACCTGCAACCACCAAAAAAAAACACACAGGGGGCCGCGTGAACACGAGCGTGTGAACTTTGGATGGATGGAGAGACTTTCGCGAGACTTTCTGTCTTTTTTCTTTTTTTTTTTTATTAGGGGAAGGGGGGCGGGGAGGACCCGGCGAATCTATACAGCAATACAATAATTTAGATCGTACTCCTCTTGAAGCGCAACGAGGAAGACGAAGACCGAGGAACCGAGACTCTCTTTTTCGACGCTTCGTCGCGCGATCGAAAACAAACGAGGAACGACGAACGAGAGGCCCAACGAGAGGAAAAGTGACGGACGCGGGGCTCCACCTCTCTCGTCCTCTTTTTTATTTCTTTTATTGTTATTATTATTATTATTATTATTATTATTATCGTCCCCCCCTCTTAGCGCGAAACTCTGGCCGCGAATACGAGGATCGATTCGAAACTTTGGTGTTTTTTTCCCCGAGATAAACACTTTTTCTTTTTCACGCTTTACGCCCCTTAAACGTGGAAACGCGTTCAACGAATCGCGTGTGTGTATATATATATATATATATATATATTTTATATTATATATTTATATATATATATATATATATATATACACAGAATTTGCGTTTCCCAGCGTGCAGATGCTCGTGATTGGGGGGAGGGGGATAGGGACGATACGAGGAAAACATGGAGTGAGATATCGGGAATGTATATAATAATACGTATAATATAATATCGTGCGTGGTGTTGGTCTCGGTTAGTACCATCTAATCAACAAAGGCGCGTGATCGACTCACAGCGCCACCAGTAGCTCGAGAAAGTGTGCGATCTAAGCGTGAGGTACGGAGAGGAAAGGGAAGGGAAGGGAAGAGAGGCGTCTGGAAGAAATTAGGCGGAAGAACGGAAGAAGTGGAAGCGCGATAGCGACAGAGAAAGAGATAGAGAAGAAGGAAAGAAGAGAGAGAGAGAGAAAGAGAGATGACGGATGTCGTGTGAACGATAAAAAAAAGTATGAGAGTGAGAAAGAAAGTCTTAGCGAAAAAAAAAGTGAAAGAAAAAGAACGAAAAGATAAAGGAGAGAGAAAGAGAGAGAGAGAGAGAGAACGAAGAAAGTTATATAAAAAAAAAAAGTGCGAACACAATGGCAAGCAAGAGAGTTACATCGTTGTTCCTTTTCTCTCGGTAAGCTCCTTCAGTCATCCCTCGTTCTTTACAGAAGCGTCCGCGTTGCGTGACTCGTGTCCTTTTTTCTTTCTTTTTTTTTTTTGTTTGTTTTCATTATACACATTATACATATATCATTGTACGATTGTACCGAGCCCTTCGACGTAGCCTCGAAGAGAGAGAGAGTCGGGGGATCGAAGATCAGAAGACCTGCTCTTTAACGCAGGTCAAATTTCTTTTTACATAAATATGTATATATATATATATATATACATATACTTACGATCGCTCTTCCGTACCGATACTATATATATATATATATATATATATCTAATACGTCCAAGCAAGTAAGTCTGGCCTACGAGATATTTCGCTAAATCATTCTTCCTAATTCGAATTCGAAACAAGACCTACGTGTGTATACCAACTCGATGGAGACAAGATGTACGAAAAGTGAAGCGAGATTCCTCGATGTATATGTATATATATATATATATATATACGTATACATAATATATATATACATATATACATATAGCTTCGCAGTACACGAATAGAGCGGAGAGAGTGATATTTGGCTGGACTTACCGAGCGCGTCCGGGGTGTTGGATGGTTTCAAGCTCTCGGTCTGTTGAAGCGCCTTCGAGCGTTCCATTAGAAGGTGCTCCAAGCTCTTGCCAGGTTCACCGGTCGGTATCTGGGAGAGATCGACCGACCTTAGCGCGTTTATCTCGCGTTTCAGGTCGTCGTAGTCCCTCTGCCGTTCCAGTTTGCTCTCCAGTCTGTTGATGTGCTGTCTGCGCGCCTCCAGTTCCTCCTCGAGCCGAGCGGTCGCCTGTGCGCTCGTCTCTTGGAGACGCTGCAGGCTCTGCTGTAACCTGGACACTTCCTCCACCAGTTGACCGATCTGAAAAAACGAAATATTCCTTTTTTTTTTCTTTTCTCTATCTCTCTCTCTCTCTCTCTTCCTCTCGCCCTCCTATTAATTATTTTTCGCCGATTAATATAACGGGCGGGATTATTAATCGCGCATAAAGTATCGGCGGGCAATCGGCATACCCCCTCCCCTCCCCTCCGTTCCACGAAGTTGTCACGAAGCGACGAGCACGAACAGTAATTACATTACCATCGATACAAATATAGAATCACATTCTATGTGGAATCCGCTCGCTTTCCAGCCCCTCCCTCCCCCGAGCCGCCACGCTCCGCTTCCGGGGCTCGTTTATCAGCGGGTAAGGAGCTTAGCAGAGGAGCTCTTTATTAATTTTATCGAATCGATTGTACCGAATCGATATATAGGGACCGCTTAAGGGAGGAGGAGGAGGAGGAGGAGGAGGAGGAGGAGGATTGGATAACTTTGAATCTCTCCGGTTCGTAAATGATAATAATTATCGGCGGTGGTGGAGGATTAAGTTACGCCTCGAGTCGTCACTGCCCCTTCCTCCCACACCCCCCCCCGCCCTCCTTCTTGCGATTCGAGAGAAATTGTGAAATTTATTTTTTTTCTCCCGTGATAGTGGATATATAATGAAATAATATATTCTCTCTCTCTCTCTCTCTCTCTCCACTAACGGAGGAATTTATTCCGTAATTGTGGAAATAGGAGGTGGAGATAGTCGAGTCCTCGCATCAATAACGAAAGTATTATTATTCCGCCCCCTTGGAAAGTAATCAATTGCACGAGAATTCGAGTCCCATCTACCTGTTTCATTCGGGCCCTCCCCGTATATGAATAGGTACAATGGATACGTACGTGTTGGAAAATGCGATCAGGAGGAAAGAAAGGGGGCGGGGGAAGGGGAGGGGGCAAAAAGGAGAAATGAATAGCGGATCAAGTGGAGAAACAAAGGGAAAAAGAGAAGAGGGAGGAGGAGGGGGGGGGAGGGAGAGGCTTAGAGGCGTACATATATTGGCTGGGGGAGGAGGAGGAGGGGGAAGAAGAAAAGGAAAGTACGATTAAAAAATAGATTCGAGTGAAAATAAAATCGAATGAAAGGGGGATGATAATGACTGGGATGGAATTAATTTAATTAAATTAAGAGGGAGCGCGATATTATCGGGCAGGAACGTGGAAGCGGGAGTTGATCATTGGGTCAGAATTTTGCAAGGGTGTAGTATTATTATCGCGACTTCTGTGCGATTCCTTTCTCTTATTCATCGATTCCCACAGCCCATCGGATTAATAATTTACCACGGTTGTCGTACCACCACCGCCACCGCCTTCTCCTCCTCCTCCTCCTTCCCACTGCTACTCTACCCACCAATCTCCTCTCTTCTCCTCCGTTGTCCGTGGACAGGAAATCATCGTGTGTCGTTCGATCGAATAAATACAATCCGTGTAAACATCCCGATGCGTCGAAACTCAAGTGTTCTCAATTTAACGCGATTGAAATTTATTTACGATCTCATTAGTTAGTCCATCGAATAACAACGTACAATAATAAGAATTAACCGGATTGAATTGATGTTTTGTTAATTTGTCGTTCTACTAAAAATCCAAATTCCAAGTTGGTTCGAGCGAATAAATTTTTCCCCGAAACTCGTCCACGAAGGCGATCGGAACGAAAGCATATCCACGCTTCGAAATTGAATGTAACGGAATTCTCGAATTTCGTATAATCGTTTCCCTTAAAATGCGTTGTATCCAAACGGGATAGATATATATATAGAGAGAGAGGGGGAAGGGAGGAAAAAGGGCGAGACGCGTTTGTTTGTCAAACACGCTCGAAACAAAGAGAGAAAGAAGAGGGAAGGGGGGGGGGAGGGAAGGAAAAAGGTGGAGGTCCTTTTTTCCCCTTTTTTCCTTCTTTTTTTTAAATCCCGCGGCTCATTCTATCAGGCTAGACCTGTCGATGCATGCCGGAGGCGTGAATTCTGCGAAATTGAAGCTTTGCTCCTCAATTAACCCCCGGAAAAAGGGATGATGCCTCACCGGGGAAAAACAATTGATACGATCTCGTTCGCATCGCCCGTTGCACCCGTGCAAAACGCATTCAGCTTTAAAATCGTCTCTCCCCCCACCCCACCCACCGCTCTCGCCCGCCACCGCTCCGCCCCTTCCCCCTCCTCCCGCGCACCTTTACCCTTCGCACAGCCTCGCGCGCAACAACGAGGCGTATTTTTTCGCTCACGATGCTCGCTTGGGACGACACGTGGATATTTTCGCGTCCTTCCGCCGCGGATTATAGTTTTCGAAATATTTTTTTTTCGACAAAAAATTGAACGATTCTCGAAAGTTGGGGCGAGGAAGAACGATTAGGTTCGAGGAGAGGGTATATATATAATTATAATTAATTATTTTTTCCACGCGTCGAAAATTTTATTTTTCCATTTTTGACTCGTTCGATCCTTCGATTCGTGGTATAAAAATTGATTCGAGTTTAACGAAACTCGAAAATATTCCCACATTTCAATTTAATTTTCGATCGGGTTTAATTTGAAGAACGAGTTTTCCCTTTCCTTTCGAACAAATAATTAATTAATATTCGGTAATTAATTCTCGGACGATCGGCACGATCGTCTCTCTACGCACGATTTTGCCCGATCCTCGCGAGTCGGCGCCGTCAAATACCGAATTCGGGCCTTCTTGCAACGGGGCTAGCTAACCCGCTTACCGAGCCAAGGTAAGCTTGCGAAATTTACCACCTCTTGCGCACCATGTACATCCGAGAAATTCGATTAGCCGAGCTAAGGAATTAGCGGATTACCCCGAACCTTTCTCGTCCCTATTCCTAACCTTCGATCTTGCCCCGCATCTTCTATTCAAAAATATAGTAATACTCTCCGATAATACGTGTTTTCTTTCGAAGAAGGACGACGATTATTATATGTCATCGAGGCAAGCTCGTTAACCTCTTGACGAGGGAGGAAGAGAGGGAAGAAAAAGAGAAACAAGGATGGATCGATGGTTAATGGTGGATCCAAGCCTCGAACCATTGGAATTATCGTTTTAAGCGAATTTTAAATGTTGTTATTATTATTATTGTTATTATTATTACAGGTTCTATTCTTTTGATTTCTATGATTATTAAGGAATTTGTAATAGTGAATTGTGAATAAAGTGTAATGGTTCGCTGGTTATGATCACAATTAATTTTTTAAATTGTGCACAGTTTATATTATAACCGATATTCTTATCCGATATCTTGTTAAGAAGTATTACTAATTCTCTAACATGTTTCTTATTTAAATTCGAGTTTTAGAAATTCATGACCAATTTATTTGGTAGCAGTAAAATGTAAACTCCATTGGAGGAGGGAGGCACGATCGCCCGTTAAAGCGACGCTTAGAGGCGTCGAGGAGGGGGCTGTAAGCAGCAGCAGCCTCTCCATTGTTTCTTCCTATCGTCGATCATCTCCTTCTCCTGACCGCACTGATTTTTGCTATTTGCACACACACACGTGTATATATACATATATATATATGTATATATAAAGGGTTGGTCCAAGGAAGGGGAAAGGGGTCTTTGTTTGTCGAGCTATTGATCACATTTTCTCCCGCGGTATAATCAATCTTCACGCACACGCTCCTCGCACTTACGTGGCCCGCGCACACGTGACCCTCTCCCTCCCTCTCACCGCGTATTATTAATTCTCCTTTCCTTCGCTTGTCCACCGATCGCGATCCGCCTACTCTCTTCCCTTTTTCTTTTTCTAAGAATTACATCCCCCATACATAGATGGTCCTTTTCAACATTCTTCTTAAGCACAGGTGACAGGTTACCCTCGTCCAAGTGACTCGGCGAGGTGAAAGGAGCATTTCTCGTCGTCGAGAAATATATATATATATATATATATATATATATATATATACACGTATGGGGCACTCTCCTTTTCTCGCCACGGGAGAGAATGCCAATTAAAAGCGTATGGGGGTTGGAAAGAAAGGCCAATCGATAGGAGGCGGCTATCATCATCCCTTCGCCTCCCTTCTCGAGCCTTCCAACTCCTCTTTCCCTTGCTTATTCCGATTCCCTTTCGCTCTCTCTGGAGGGTGAGGAGGAGGAGGGTGTAGTAGTGGTAGTGGTAGGTAGGTAGGTAGGTAGGCAAGCCGAAGGGTTGCCCAAACTGGGAAGTGGGAATTATGGGCAGGATTAATATGCAAGGACTGGATACGTGCGGTGGCAGGGGGTGGAGGATGGCGAAGCAACAAAAGGGGTCGAAGGGGAAGAGCGAGGGGGAGGAGGCCAGAGAGAGAGAGAGAGAGAGAGAGAGAGAGAGGGCGGCCCCTCTCCGTCTTCGTCCGTCTGATGTCGACGGCGAAGAGCCTCCATCTCCTCCACCTCCCTCCCTCCCTCCCCTCCCTCCCTATCGGCTCGCATCTCATCCCCACCAACGTCTCCTTACAGGATACACGGGCTAACGGACACCCCTATCGATTTTACAACTCGATATATGTGAATACCCACTTGTCTAATGACTGATCGGAGCTTCCAACCCTTTCCTCCGACCGCCGCCCCTCCCCTCTCCAATGTATCTCGCCTCATTACACCGGCTACGTGCCTTTGCCCGACATCTCGCGCTGCATCGACGCGCGCAAAAAATCCATCCATCCCCCCCCTCCCCTATACATCTATACATCTCTCGATCACTTTTTCTACTTCCTTCTCGCGAAGGAGGGCGAAAAATTCGCTTCCATTCCTTTCCCTCCTTCTTTTCTTGGGTCTCGACCGTGACCCACGTTCCTCGCGAATTTTTTTTTCTCGGGGGAATCTCTCGTTCGATTCGATCATATTTCGTTCTCAGAC